TCCGTGCTGTGTTCCTGACAGACGTAGACTACATCCTCAGTCGTGCTAGGTGGACTAGAGTGATCATCCTTCATGACGTTTTTTAACGAAGAAGTGGTATTCGACGCGGAGCAGCAGCTATCCCCTGATGGAACTCCGGAACCACGACCATCTTCTATGCTATCCTCCTGCACAAGGACATCAACTACATGTACGATCTCATCAGTAGAACTTCCTTTCGCGTCCAGTTGTACTGTTACAGTCTCAGTACTAGGAGCGCCTGCACCTCCAGATGAGTGTATTCCAGTTGAAGACACGTCTTGTGGTGACCTTCCGGGTTCCAGATTGGTTTCCTGTGCGTCCGGAAGCTCACCACAAGACAAACTCATACTCCTCTGCCGCGGTGCGGACAAGCTTCCAGCAGGCGGCTCAAAGCCGAATGTCCATGAGGTGTCGCTGGAGTCATCGTTTTGTTCCTCGCTTCGTTTATTTGCCTCGCTTCGTTTATTTGGTCTGAGCTCTTGAGGAGCGCCACTATTAGCATGCGCTAGAAGTGGTTCTGGTTGCCGCCCATCCTCTTGAGGAGCGCCACTATTAGCATGCGCTAGAAGTGGTTCTGGTTGCCGCCCATCCTCTTGAGGAGCAACACTATTAGCATGCGCTAGAAGTGGTTCTGGTTGCCTCGTGGTGCTTCTACAAAAGTCTGTCGACGAAAACTTCCGTGTTTGTTGAAGAGAGGAAGTGGACGACGCCTCGTCTTCCGCCGAGGAAGCTGAGACGACCCTGCCGCGCCTTTCTTGTCGCAGGCACAGAAAATCCGAAGCCGGCCTCAGTGCGCACGATTCACTATTGCCTGACTCGCTATTGCCGGATATGATGAAGTTCATATGCCCATCCCCGTCAAAACTACGACCCGCGCTTGAGGCAGGTGACGGCGGCACGCCGAATACGGGGGTTGGCCCTCGCGTGACCACGTGGCTGATGTCACCGGGAAACGGTGCATCGAAAACAGACGAGGATGCTTGATATCTTCTTGGATCATTATAGTCATCAGCAGATAAAACCGTAACCGAAGGCAGATCAGAATCGAGAGTAAGACTCTGACTCATGTCTTCTTGATGAAATTTCTGGAATACTAGTACAGTCGTGTCTATTCCGCTACTTCCGCTGTTTCTTATTGTTCCTGCACCTGCATCTGTGCCTCGTCGTCCAACTGCGCTTACTGCAGGCACTAGAGACGAGCGCGACGACACGGACATGGATTTGCAAGCCGGGTCTGAGGAAGCTCCTCCACGCTCACAAGCTGACTCATACGATCTCACGGTGCAAAAGCTCCTGCTCGTGGTTGAATCATCTTCGCGACCTTGTGTAGTTTGTGATCTAGTCAATAGAGAAGCGCCATCTACTCCCGCCTCCGCCTGTTTCTGCGGCAGTGGCACGGAGTCCGCAGCTCTTTTCAAAATCTCTTCGGCTTCTTCGACTGGTCGAGAAGTAACGACCTCCACGTGATCTTGCTCCCAATCGTTGTTACTAGGTAGCTTCCCTGACAACTCAGCGCCAAGCCCAGGAGACACGCCTCCAAGCCCAGCAGACGTTGTGGTCCTCTTCTCACGCTGCGACTTCGGGGTCGAAGAGGTGTTGGACTGCGATCCGTCTTCCAGCAAGTTTGTTCCTTCGTGAAGCAACGAGTTCGAAGAATCTAGGTCGCCGATTGTGGACAGCAGCTCAGCACTTGAATCTTGGTAGAATGACAGAACTGTGTCCGAGGACAGTCGCTGCTGATCACTGAGTAACGGAGTCTGCAGCAGTACGAGCTCTACTCTCAGGGGCGCCATGGCGGTAACGGAACCAGTATAAGCTGCATGCTGTGCCGAAGATGCAGCTGCCGAGGAACTGTAACGAGTGTTAGAGCGTGAATTCAATGATCCTGCTGCCTTAATGTTTGCTGCCTTAGTGTTGCGCGTACTAGTTGTAGATTGATGCCGAGGAGGCTCCTGTACGACTGTTGCTGCTGTCGTAGTCGTCTTCGCACTCGAAGCTGGCTGACGCGAGGTTGAACAAATGTTAAGGAAATGCCGCGCGAGATCTGATCTATCAGCCTCTCCTACAAGTGGGTCGCGAAGTTGCGGAAGAGCAGAATCGTCCCTGTCGGGACTCGGACTCCTCGATGTTGATGACGCAGAACTAGACGAGGAGGAACGGAGCATGGCCTTCAATTTTGTATACAGGACAGAAAAACGCTGCTCAAAAGCCTCCCTCTGCCCCGGCTCCCATTTTTGCTGCTGCTTAGCAAGCAGCCGTCTCGCGGGCGAACTCAGCATCGAAAAGCCTGGCGCTTTCAACACATTCAGAGCACCGCTCTGGGAACTGTTTTGGCCTATCAAGGTGCTCGAGGATGTGCTCCGTTTTTCGTCTAGAATCTGTAACTCGATCCCGTCTGGTGCTCCTGTGCGTGCTTGGTCCTGTAGATCCTCGTCTGCAAGTCCTATCCTGCTTGATGTAGTTGTCGCAATTCTCCTGTTTGCTCCATTCATCATATGCACCTTTACAGTGTCGCGATTTGAACGACCACCACTGTGGCGTCCGCACTCCCAAGATGCCAGATGATTGTCTTCATCATCTTCAACGGCCATGTCTTCATCATCTTCAAGCACAATTGGCTGTTGAGGTGGAGCTGATAGTCGTACCCTCTCTGCAGAAGTTGAAGATGTAGCCTGTAGAGAGTAAGATGCGGACAGGGCAGGTCCGTCCGTTCCGTCAGGCGAGCGCGAAATCACACGGGTACTGGTAGGGAAACTTCGATTTTTTTCTAGAGTTTCCGTCAGCGACCGCGATAAACTGTCGAGGGCTGCTGTCGTTGTCCGCAGAAGCTCCCGGCCGTGATTGATGATGAAAGTTTCTGCTCTTTTCCTTCTCGAAAGTCTGGCAGAAGTCGTTGTAAGTAGAGCATCTTCGTCGACATTATGGTTCTCGCTTGCCATAGAACTATGTTCGACTTCCCCACCTACAGCATGGGCCCTATTCCCATCCTGATTGGCAGGGTCGTTGCCTTCTTCGCTAGTTTGATGGTCTCTCCCACTCCCAGAGCGCCAGCGCTTGTCATGGTTTTCAACATGTTGACTTCTGCCAGAGGAGCTTCCTGCAATCGCTTTACCATGCTTCCGCTTCCGCGCAGCGCGAGGAGCCCCAGCATCGTCGTCAATACCAGCATCGGCATCTTCGTCCTCCAAGGCTTCAGTCGCACCTGATCCTTCGAGCGACGGATCACTTCCTCCCGCTGCATGCTTTTTACCAGCACCTTTCAACGCCGACAAAAGCAGAATGCATGTAACGATGGAGAAGAGGAAAGGCTGCTTTGTGTTGGCGATCAAGTCTCGGAACCACACATCGGTTGGTTCTATCACTAGAAAAGTACTATCCAACACCCATTCCGCGAAGCACAAAGCGCACATGCGCCATACGAAAACCAAACCGTACAGGCCGACAAGGAGTCGCCGCAACATCTTTGCGGAGTGACTGCTTCTGCTGAACAGCTCTTGGTCGTCGTTCTTCTGACCAGCGTCTCACTGCGTCAGTCGATCATGCGCGTACCCGATCATTCTGCATCAGGTGAGACGCGCGCGCGTCAAGGGAGTGCCGCTGCTTTTGCCTGGTATCGGCCAATCACCCGACCGCAAGCGAGGTGGCGTTTCGATCGTCTCGGTCTATTGCAATGCGTGCGGAAAAAATAATGGATGACAACATGCATGTGGTTTTGTTGGACATGAGCAGTTGTTGCGTTTGTCATTTAAGGAGCAGAATCAGAAAGGCAGAAATGCAGCGTTGCTGGATTTGCTTGCAGATGCAGTTGGCAGACACTCCTAAAGCTACACTTGTATTTTGCAGTAGATGTGATGGCTCAGCTCATTTTCTGCTCATTCACTCGAATCACGTTGCAAGTGATCACTTGCGACTCAACTACATCTGGATTAGTGCATGCCAGATTCGTTCTGCTCTAGGATATTTTCGACCATGACAAAGAGTTCTGTGCTGTATGCCTTCTACCTGCTGGGATCTTCTTCGCTTTCGCAACTACCGTGTTTGGAAAATTGTTGTACACATGAACACTATAACGTCAACGACTAGAAGAAGCTTCGAAAACAGCTACATTGCAACTAGAGACCACGCTTCGTCTCATTTATTCCTTGGCCCGCAGGCATTTCGCTCGAAGCTTTTTCGTTCTTTTTTACACATCACCTTCGATTCCTCACGAGGAAACATGTCAGACAAATCAGAATCACAGACACAAAATTTGCTTGGGGCTTACGTCTAGGGGTGTAGGCGTAGGGTTGTAGACTAAGGATAATAACTCAGTAGACATTTTTTGTAGTTTCGCTAATCCTAAAGGTAATGATAATGAATGTTCCATGTAGAAGTGCCAGTACTAGAGGATGCTTTTCGACGCTGCTTCGCGGCCGCACCGGTGCTGGCACGGGCAAAAGATTCGACCTGATGCGGTTATTTAGATCCTACTTGCTCATTTTTTACGGCAATAGAAACCCCAAATATTTACAACGACAACCTTACATCAAAAATGCTTTTTCACATTCAAATTCAATGTGTTCGAAGTACCCAATCTCGATGATTCATTAATGACAAAATACAGCCAAAAAATCAAAAATGATTGAATTATGAATGTCGCGGCGTCCACTCGCATGCCTTTTTGGCTTTGGGTGCTAGCTAATAATATGCCCCTGAACTATGGCCCATCCACGGAAGAAAACATGTTGTATCAAAAATCAGAATCAGGTCCAACACCAGAACCAAAAATTAACCACTCACCTAGCGCTAGCGATATGAATAGGAGCAGCAGCAGCAGCACCAGGACGAAATTCCAAATCCAAGGAACATGATTGAGATTGACAAAGCCTGACCATCACCATGTTGACAAGGTAAAAATACAAATAGCTTATGCATCATACTACAGACTGAAAATGTACGAGAAAAAAAATTTATAGGGCAAGCAGTAGTGATCAGGCGATTGAGGCAGGTGAAGGCTGTGAGGTGTCGGAGATTCTCCCTGGGCTAGTCGGCTCCTTCGTCATTGGCTTCTTACATGAAAAAAATGACGAAAGAGCCGACTAGCCCAATGATGAAAAAAATGTCGAAAACACAACTAGCTACACCTACTACTGCATTCGTCGACCTTTCGCACTAGTTGGTCCCGTCTGTTAATCAATGTCGTTGACCAAAAAAAACATTTTTTCCTATCGCGCACTCTTGTCTTACTCGTCTTTCGAAATGCCGACTCTCCCTGGGCTAGTCGGCTCCTTCGTCATTGGCTTCTTACATGAAAAAAATGACGAAAGAGCCGACTAGCCCAATGATGAAAAAAATGTCGAAAACACAACTAGCTACACCTACTACTGCATGAACCTTTAGGTTTTGTTTTTACCCATAAAGTATCAACATCGACGTCCTTGACGATCGATGAGTTGCGATCAAAGTATCGCTGTTCGATTAGTTGACAACAACTAGATTAGCCATTTACACTGGGCTAGTCGGCTCCTTCTTCATTAACACTCTTGTTTTAGCGGAAATCCTAACCCGTCACCTTCTACCTTTTGTTGGGCAGCCTATTCCCCTGATACAAGACCACAGCTTCATCGTCTGTTGGTAGGTCTTCGTACTCCGACAAGCTCGCTGTACCTCCACCGTGAGGTAGCTGCGTCACATCTGGGAGTATGACGCCTTCGACTGGTGATGGTACTGCAGTGGAAATCGTCTCCGTCGGAGAGCTAGCCTTACTTGTGTCAGTATCTCCACCCGCAAACACACTCGTGTCAGATTGGACACGTGAAGGTGGTGCAAAGACACTATCACTATCGTCTCCACGTTCTGGGGTATTGCCTTGTTCTAGGAGACTACCTCCCTTTGACGCTGGTTCTTGTTGAGGTGATGCGGATGATGGGCCAGCAATAGTGCCAGAGGCTTCTAGACCAGATCCAGTATTGCCAGGAGAAGATGAGCTACCGGATGATGACGACGAACCTCCTGCTTGTATTTCGGCCGCTGCTTGTGATGTTCTTTGCCCAATGCCAGATTTCCTGCTACTCGGACCATTTGGCGAACTCTTCTGCATTTTAGATCGGGGTTGGGGGACATAAATTGCATCATTTTGATGTACTTTTGTGTAAGTCTAAGTACCTACCAAGAACGCAAGAAGTTGGATTAGACATCAGTTTAGTAGAACGCAAGAAGTTCTTGGAGAAAGTAGACATCAGTTTAGTAAGTAGCTGAAAATGAAGTCACTTTCGTCCTCCATAATCTTTGCCTCGCTGTTTTCTACCAGTTCCTTGTTTTCGGGCAAAATCCAGAGAAAGAAAACCTGCCCGTTCTCCTCAGGTATCTTGACTGGTACGCCAAAGTTGTTCAATAGAGGAACATCCTGTATTGATTTTTTGGAGAGACTTTGCTGGAGAGGATGTTCGAGGGAATTTTTTTTGCTTTTTATAATATGGAGGTGTTATCACAATCCCAGCGTACTGCGTAGGTGTGGAGGTTCAAAATGAATCCAGCACACAGCATGAGTCTAAGGTTTTGAAAGTTGTCCTAGATGTCCCAGTTTGATGTCCTCGTGCCAGTTCATCCACATCTCAGCATCTTAATGCCAGAGAGATATGGTGTTATCACATGTCACAATCACAGCGTACTGCGTAGGTTCAACTACATGAATCTATCCCCACAACTATAAATTTAAATAGTGAACATTTATTAAAATTATATACCTTGCCCTTGTAGATGAAATAGCAGTCTGTCCAGTCGAGGTCGAAGTCCCGTTCTTCTCTAGGCTGCAGCATATTTAGACCAGGATCTTTTTTCAACCTAAATAGTTTTTCAACGCCATCCTGATAGAAGTAATCCCGATAGCACGACTTGCGGATGCGGGTATAGCATGATCCCGATAGTTAGTACAACTCCCGATAGCACTTGCGGGCACAACAGCATCCCGATTATATATAGTAATTGCGGCCATGATCCCCCGCACAGCATGATCCCTCCCCCTCGATTCCCACAAGGCGGCGCTCCCGCCCCGGGGGTAGCGACACCCACAAGGCGTCCCGGGGGTGGCGAAAATTATGGGTGTAGGAAATGCATCCGCAAAGTCATCTCGAGAAAGAAAATAAGAAGGAAAACGGACCCAGATGATCTGTAAGATGCATTCCCGATACCTCTAAGAAAACAAAAAAAAACTCATTTTCATTTTCGGCTAGAAAATTGAGAACACTATAACTACTAACCCCTTATTGCATGAAGTCTAGATGTAGTCCAACATCTGACTCTTCAGTTCCGCATCTGTGTTCGTCGCCATTCCTGCTATTTGGGTGTTGCCATTTGTTGGCGAAAACGTTTGCTATTCCTACTTTCATTCATTCATTCATCCTGGTCAGCGCGGCGGCACCTTACGGCGAACTGAACAGCGCGACCAAAGGCCTTGCCCACTTGACACCCGCGGGTGCCACTGTGGGGAAAGCCGCCCGGCAGTGGCAACGCCCTGATCAGATCTTATGTAGAAAAAATTTAGGTTGTGCAACGAGAATCCTAACATATCGTCCCCCTCTTCTACTCGGTAACTCGTTTTTCGCCCGTCCGTGTAGACAACGAATAACTCGGAACTGTCGTGAAATTTGATGTTGTATTTGTTGTCGAAGTTGAAAAAGATGAACATGATGAAGTTGGTGGCTTCTGATAAGAAGTGTGAATTTTTTGGACACTAACATTTGACAAATTTTAGTTTCGTTTATTGCTCTTGGTTCGTCCTCTTGTGATTGTGTGCTGCTAATACTAACTGGCAATCATGTGTTGCACATGCATGACTTTAGGTACTTAGTCAAAATACTTCTTCGGGTCTGGAAATCCGAACTCAGTCGCAACCGTTTCGACATATTTCGCTTTTCTCTCGTAAAGTTTGAATCGTATTATTTTCCGATGGTAGCTTACCTTCCCTGTGCTATCGTGGTACTCGACAACTAACCATTTGGGAGCACCTGATGGAGAGAAGAGTCGTTTGGGAATCGAAAAAAATAACATTCCTTCGGTTTCTGAGGAAAAATACCTGATGTGCATCCATGTCCACCTCCGTAGTCGATGATGTCCTTCAGATTGACCAACGTATACTCCGCAGTAGCTTTTATCCGATATGGCTGGTGTGCGTCTTGGTAAGCACATGCTGTTGAAGATGAAGATGAACTTCCACCTGCTTGCTCCCTACTAGTACCAGTCACGACCCCTGCTGATGTCGAACTCGTACCACTAGAGGAGGATGGTTCATCATGCGATGACACAGCTCCCGGACCTGATGACGATGACGTTGACGCACTACTCGATGAACTTCCTCCACTCTCGTCTGACGACCCTGCTCCTGCTGTACCCGCAGTTGTACTAGATGACGCGCTAGTACCTGCTCCGCCTGAGCTGCTACTACTTGATGTTGATGACGTGGCCCCACTGCTAGTACTGTAGGAGGCGATGGCGGCGTCGCATTCTTTTATTAGAGTCTGCTAGATTGCATCTCGGCCCCCTCGTCATCTTGACCCCTTTACTAACCTCGTATCATTTCATACATAGGAATATTTCAAGGGAAAAGGGGACCAAGATGCCGAGAATGATGGACATGACTAAATGCAGTTGACCATAATTTTATGACTGCCTCATAGAATTCACACAGGATCTCGTTTATGAGAACGTGATTTCTACCGTGAAACAGAAACTCCATGAGCACCCAATGAAGCTTAAAAGCGTAACCGCCATTCGGGTTCCCACGAATCTGCATCACCATTTGCGTCAGGAACTCTACCTGGTGCCAATGTCATGCCATGGATGGTCGCGTCATGGAGAAGGAGAGTCTCTAAGAATGTGATTGATTGATCTAAGTGCCCACTCATTGGGGTGATTGATTGATGTACTCACTCGTGGACAAGCAATACACGTTGTACCTACAGGACTATGCATGATTCAAATTCAATGCCTGTTGTTAATAGTAGAAGTGTCACTGTTGTACGTAGTGATGCCTCGTGGAAAATAGAATGACGTCTTCCGACAACTTCCATCACAGCTACCAATTAAGTATTCTATACCTGCAGTTTCGGATATCTCTTGTAGAAGTCGAAGAGTTCGTGGAAAAAAGGGCCTCCTCGGTCCCAGCTTATGTGTTGAATCTGCCATATTTTCGTGTAGAAATGCGTCGCTAGCTGTATCGTGTTCGCACTTTCTTTATTCAGGTTCAGCGTCAAAGGGGTCTTGATTAGAGGTTCCGGTTCGTCTTCGTCAGTATAGAAGAGCGTAGTCCTCATCATGCACATGCAGGATGAGGATGGAGGAGCTTTCTCTCACTTAAAAGAATGCACCAGATGGTGAAACAGAAAAGGAAAACTACCTCCAGTACTACTACAACTTCCAGTACTACTACATAAATCAAGCGTCGGCTCGTTCCTATACCGCAAGTCCCGGATGAACTCCGGTGAGGGCTTCGATATACTGCCACCCATTTCACGTCCTCTACCGCTTGCGCTTCCTTACAATCGTAACATTTTTTCACGCAATGGCAATCGTAACATTTTTTCAGACAAGAAGTTGAAACTATGCTGATGTCCGAAGAGTAAGTGAAAGCTTTATCATTGGGCACGGTCTGCGCTGTCCCCCATCATTCAAAGTCAGCCGTTTTTAAGAAACGATGTACTTGCCTTCTGATCATAGGAGTTGTGTATTTGACAACTCTAGTACTACTACTACTACTGCTACTACAACTGTGACTCACGTCAGCAATCCCTCGTCTTGGTCTCGTCACTTTTTCGGAAGTCAAATACAAACTCACTCAAAACCAGAACGTGTGCACCTCGCCAGGGCAAATCACTCATGATCGGAATCACAAAAATAGGTGAACAAGAAATCCTGCCATTACTTGAATCTTGCCACACAACTACCGCATTTCAACGCTTGACGTTTCGCGGAAGATCTCGCAGAAGTCCTTTACTTTTTCCTTGTTGTAACAGTAACTCATGTTCCAATCAACTGTTAATTTCTCGCGTTACAAATACCATACGTCAGCAAAAATCATATCAAGACCAAGACCTTCCTCGTCTGAATCAATGTAACCAATCAACTGCCATTTCGCGCTTGTTTACGCAGAGGTATTGACTCAATTCGCTATTTCAAAACCAATGCCAATCAACTGTTCTTCATGAGATAGAAATCGCTATTTGAAAACCAATTAAATAACCGCTTTTTCTTGCTTGTGAGAAAGAAATCATAATTACTTGTTTTGTAAAACTAGAAGAAACAAGACTCGCAAAATTGTCATTAGATGTGAAGAAAGTCAACTTTAAAAACGAGACAACATCTTGCTGATTATACAATTCTTGTCGTTATATTTGAAATTATCTCAAACTCAAAACATCCTTTGATTTTCCTCTTCCTGCTCACTGCGCGTCGGCGGTGTAGCGAAGGACACACGACCCGGCTTACTCCTAGGTCTTCCTCCGGCACCAGCAAACGAACTTCGCTTTGGTAGTCTAGAGCTTCTTTGTGTTCCTCCACCTCGCAAGTGTGGAGGTGATAAGCTCGCACCATAGTTGTCTAGTATCACAGACGAGCTTGTTCGTGTCGTCGATATCGACAGAGTAGAGCTCAGCTGGCTACTGCTGTCGTGACTTGTGTTGGTACTATTGTGCGTTGCAATGACATTTTCATCGACAGTAGTTTTCATCTGAATGTCACTCGTACTGAGCATGATTGACGGCGACTGAGCCGTGGACGTCTGAGTGTGTCTCCTTGTCGCTCCATCAGAAGAAGTATCTTTTTGTGTCGACGACTGGTCGTGCTCTTGATGTTCAACAGCCGTCGAGCTTACCAGCATCTTGCCGATGTTGACATTGTCGAGCGAAATAGCAATTGGATCAACATCGTCACGTTGTTGAGATGACCTTGATGAATGTGAGAGTGGCTTCGCAACAACAGGAAGATCTTCATCCGGGGAGACAAAACCTGTGCTGTGAGTCCTTAGAGAGCTTCTTGTGGTCGCAGTCGTGAGACGGCAGACTTGGACTTGACTCATGTCACTATTTTCCATTTCGGTTATTTTAAATTCCATATCCATTTGATGTTCTGGATGTTTTTCACGAGTCTGTTGTCGAAGTCGTTTCCTCATGAAATTTTCTTTTTCATCATGAACAACAAGAAGTGAAGAGTTTTTATTCATAGACGAGCTTCCTCCAATCATTGCAAGCTCAACCTCAACCGGTGCTGTAGAGCAGCTGTCTTCAGTCGTCCCGCGAACAGAGGAACGCATAGGAGGAGTCCCACTCGAATGCGGAGCGTTGTTGCTCTGCGTCTGCCGTCTCGATGTTTTCAAAATACTGCTTCTTCGTCCTTGCTTATGGGCTGGAGGTGATGCCTGTCCCTGTCCTGCTCGAGAACCGCGAATCATGCCAGCTGCAGGCTCGTCATCGTCAGCGTCGTCTTGATCTTCTTGATTCGTAAAGATAACCGTTGAGCTCTTCCTTGTCTCAGAATAGGAGGATGAATGAGAATGACGATGACCACTACAACTGCTAGAAGCGCGTCTACTCACTCCCACATGCGAGTGTGATGAAGTTGTAGCTATTATCGAAGAACGGCGTGCATTGCTAGTGGTTGCCTTTTGTCTCGTCGAAGACGAAGAACCATTCGCACTTTTGCATTTGCGAATACTCGGACTAGTACAAGAACTCTTTCTTCTGCTCACATGTCTAACCGTAACCCTATCTACTTCCCGACAGGATAGAAAAGCGTTGCGACCTGATGAATGATGCTTAAAAATCGCGCTTTTTCTCTTCCCGCCTTTAACATGCTCAACATATGAACCAACATGTTCTTGTCGGAGTAAATCGTGAATAGAATCGTCTAAAAGAGTTCCCGCAGTAGAACCACTAGAACAACCGTGCGATGTAGACGAGGGGCAACGGGAAGAAGCATGTTGTAGTATTTGCTGATGTGGTCCTCGTGGGCGATGACTAGGCTGAGGTGACCAGGAGGCGTCCTCCATATTCAACACGCCGCTTGTGCACGCAGCCGAAGCGCTAGAGCTTCGATTTAAGGCGTCTTCGTCTCCATCCTCGTTCGAGTAGTAGCTGCCACTCGAAGTGCTGTCGTGTTTTCCTCCTGTCCTGTCTAGCTCTTGTATCACGCGTTTTTGGAGCCAGTTCGTGAACATTTCGCGCGTGCTCTCTGCATCGGTGCTTCTTCTACGCTGCAACTTCTGTTGGTATGTTGTTGAAAGGCCGCAACTGCGAGCAGGCGAGGATGATCGGGCATTTAGCAGGAGATTCTTCGACGCAGAAGTGGAAGTGCTGCAACTTGTTAAGAAGTAAGGAGAGTGCTGCGGTCCTTCAAACTGATTGATGTTGCAGTAGCTCGTCCTACGTTGACTTTCATTTCGCAATGAAGATGTCGTTTTTCTTGAAAACTGGTCTTCTTGTGCCGTCGTTGTGGTCGAGTCGAAGAATACCTGTCGATCTCCTGTTCCAAGTAGTTCTGGAGTCGAAATTATCCTGGACGTGGACGTCGATAGAGAGTCTTGTGTTTCGTCTTCCTCCTCTGAACTAGACGAACTGCTGCAGGACGAATGAGTCGTGTGAATTTCGGAAGTTGATGTGCTGGAGCCGTCATCTCCGTCTCCAGACGAGGATGATGATGCTGTACTAGAAGAATTGGACACGATCTCCTCGTCTTGTTCACCAAGAAGATCATCATGAAGTAGACCACGATCATCTTGTTCATCATTGTCATTCCCATCCCCATGCTCATCTTGTTCAGAACCACGATCATCTTCCCCATCTTCGCCATCGACACTGTCCTCTTCCGTATTCGAACAGCTAGAAGATGAAGTCCCATGGTCAGCTGAACTTCTAGTGTAGTTGTCTGAGAAAGGAGAGCTGCGTGACGGGTATGACTCTGGAAGCGGATCCCGCGTACTAGCAGAAGATGAGGCCGCATGTACATGTAGTAGCGGATCTCGATCTCCTCGACCTCGATCGCCGTCTTCATCACTGTTGAGATCATCTGCATCTTTCTCCACGTCCACTGCTGAGAGTGGACGTGCAACACTTTCTCTCTTTTTCGCAGTTCTTACCTCTACCAGCAAAGGTGTTGACAACATCGCTCCTCCTGGCGTGGTGGTTCTACCTCCTGAAGGTGTGCCGCGTGTGGCTTGCGGAGTACTGAATAATTGCGTTGACCGAAGATCTCTGACGCGCAAGTCCTGAAGCTCGATGCCCTCTAGATCGTCTGCTGGTGTGGTACGCAACCCTGAAGAATCAGGAACAGAATGCGTTTTGACACTGCTAAATGCTCTCTGTAGTCCTCGGAGAATAGGAGACGAAGATGCCGCAGCCTGGAGAAACGTGGACTTCTCGTCTTCCGCTTCATCCTTCGAGCTTCCATCACTCCAAAAACATCTCCTGCGTCTACAAGACCAAACGCTGGAGCTATCATCCCCACCACCAGCAACACTGGTTGAGCGACCACCTCTTGCTCGTCTTGCCTCTCTGCGCTGTCGTTTTCTCCTCCTTCTGACACACTGCATGACTTCTTTTCCGATGGAGTGAAAAAGGAACAAAACATAAGCCGCCAGAAGCATCACCATGCAGAGCTGGACCCACTGAGTCACGCGCTGGAAAAGTCGCAGCAGTCTGTCAAAATACCGAACAAAGCTGCGACAGAACATGCGGTTGCCGACTACAGAACGGAAATGATACTCTACGCCAACTTCATCAAGATAGTACTTCGCATCGTAGTGGCCTGTCGCGAGGTTTTTGCTTTCTGTGTATCTCCCACGCTTCAGCCAGGCGGCTGGAATATCCATAGGCTTTTGCACAAACTCAGCACTTGCCACAGGTCTCGCATGTAAAGGGCTCGGATCATCTTGTTCGTAGGGTGTAGTTGTACTAGATCCTTCGTATTCGTTGTTGCCGTTGTAAAAAGCATCATTGTGACCTCCAGAAGCGCCGTTTTGATTATACACACCTGATCTAGTCGTGCCGGCGTTTATTTCACTCCCGTGGCGCGATCTACTCCTGGCACTATGAATCTCCTCTCCTACTTGCTGGTGAAACGCAGATGGTGTATGACCCCCATCCTGCTTCCTGGCGCTCGGTGGCTCACCCTTGTGTTGCCCAGTGCCGATTGCCGCGGGTGCTGTGGAGTTTTCAGGTCACAATAAATTTTTGTAGTCGTTCATCTTCGAGGCAACAAGAATACTAGGGTACAAAAACACAAACAGAAACAGGATGTACACTAGATAAAGAGAAACAGAAATAAATGCGACTGTTCAAAAGCAATGGCAAGAACGCTTGAAAAAATCACAACGTTATAGTACAACCCGAGTCCAAGGATGCTGGAGTTTGCTCTGTTCTCGAGACAAGATTAGACGCCGCATCCGATCGTCTAGAGACGCCCACGCGAGATCGAAGCTGGTGCATGTTGCTTTTCGGGGTCGTCACAGGACTCGGTCTGTGCTTCGCCAGTCTGGCGAGGATGCCGCTCTGTGGCGATCCGGGGGTCCCGCCGGTTCCTGTGAGAACCCTACGGATGGGGCCCTGATGATCTAGATATACTAGTGCTTCATCTTCTTCCGTGCCCTCTTCATCGACAAAGGCATGACTTTCGCCAATCTCCTCGTCATCAGCAACATTTTCGACGCTGATACGACTTGTTTTCAATATCCTTCTCGTCGCTCCCTCCTCGTGCTCTTCTAGTATTTCCTCCCTTTGCAGCTGTTCTAGGGGACACGGAAGCTCGTCCTCTCTTGCACGCGCTCTTGCTGAGCTCTGTTGCTCTTCTTGCAAGTGTCCCTGCCCAGCAAGTTCTTCAGGCGTTTCTTGAAGCTGATCTGTTGCGATTGAAGACGCCGAGGACCCCCTCTCTCCTGTCGAAGAATCCTGTTCTGAACCGCCAGGAGCGGCGCCAGCTGCTCCTGAGCCAAGATGTCGCTCGTCTTCTTGTTGTTCCTCAAAAAACATTGCGCCTGCGCCCGGAGTCGACTGAGCACCTGGAGTGGTCGTGTTGTAGATGCGGAAGGTCTGAAAGCCCTTCCCGCCAACCGGCCCTCCCGGCCCGAAGAAAACCCCTCCTTGACGAGGTGCCAAACGCGACAGGACAGGCAGTCGTGGAGCTGAACCTGGAGGAGCAGGAAAAAGTGGAGGGACGCCAGCACTGGAGCCGTGAGATGGCACTACACCGGCAGAATGCGTGCCAGACATTCCGCCTAACTCAACATCAGAGAGGTGTAGTTGATCGTAGTAGTCGTATTCCCCACGACGACCTCCACCTCCTGCGAAATGAACTGGAGATTCGCCGAAGAAGCCAGCCGCTTCCTGCAAGCGCATCCTTGTTGACGCATTCGCCGCTGGTGCAGTCACTGGCCACAAAACGTCGGTGCCACCTGGTGTCACAACAGCAGGGCCCAAAATCTCGGATGCATAGTCTCCGCCATCAGTATCAGGTGCAGGACTCCGTTCACCTTCGAAATCAGTGTCCAAGTCCGTGCCTGCAGCAGGAGTCTCGACTCCGGATACAGGAGATTGCCACTGCCCGCCAGTAGTCTCATTACCAGAGGAAGATTTTCCTTTTCTCGTTGTAGTGCTACCACGGTTTCGATAGAGTTCCCCAGGAGTCGTTGACGTATCGATCTCTACAGGCCTCTGACTCCGTAAACTACTCATTGACCCTCTCAGGGAGCCATCTGAGGCTTGCAATGCACTGGTTGAATTTCGGAGAGCAGCTCCAGCTGGCGATGTCGTCGGTGAAGAAACCTTCTTGATGTCCTCAACCGGATTCTCAGTCGTAGCACTTCTGGCATTGGCCGCACTGGCAGTAGAGCTAGAGGCGCCAGTCCTATTCCTACTAAGTGTTTTTAGAGGTAGGACGAAGACGATATTAACAAACTAGATATAATGTTGTAATTGTATCTCTTCATGTTCAATAAAGAGTAGTGTGCACCATTGCCGACGTAGGAGAAGAAATGTAGACAGAGTTGTGAGCAGAGTACTCAAAGAAACTCAACAAGTTGAAAAGAAACAAAAGGTAGATTTTAGTAGTAGTAGTAGTAGTAGGTGTAGGAATTATTATTACTATGTATAAGGACTTTCTATTAAGAATAAGGGGACCAGATCAAGATTACGAGCCTTAATGTTTGTGTTGATCTTGACCGTGAAGAGGACATAGGATCATCGGCACTCTGATGCTGATCGTGTAGTTGACCACCTGTGAAGATAACCTCTTGGTGCGTTAGCTCTTCTTGTTCTTCTGAAATGTAGGTGGCACTTAACTCGTCGATCCTTGAGGTCGCCGCATCCGATACTTCGCTTTCGAGTTGATCTAACGTCGAACTCGGACTGCCGCGTCCTCCACGGTAGATCGCTCTCAGAGGGCCATCAGGGGTCGTGGCAACGGCGCGACGAGAACGCGACGGGGCGAAAGGCCTCCCGCGCCGCTCGTCCTCTATCGCTGAAGACAGTGCTCCGACGACGTGCGCTTGCGCCCGAGCGTCCTGCAAAGAAGACATACTTTCCGCCATCAACGAAGAATCAAAGGATGACGCCCCATCCACGCTGGCAGACGAGCCTCGTAAAGTTGCGGCGCTGCCAGTGAGATGTTCTTCTGAGGCCACGACTTCGAAAATCGGAGAAAGCTGGACGCCAGGCGAGGCAGGCGATTGCAATCTCTCAGTTGTGCCATTATCCTCTTGCGGCCACGTTGACCGGTTCCATCCTCGTGCACTGCTCGTGTTACCCGTAGACAAAGAAGTCGACGAAGACAATTCTTAGATTGAAATATTTCAAAAAATCGAAAGACAGGAATAATGTTTTTGTTTTCGATTTACGATTCACATGCTAAAAAAGAGGATAGGGACCACACCCGTCCCAACACATTCTACTTAATAATACGTGAAATAGAAACGAAATAGAAATTGTCACCTTAAGCAGCAGAGGCTTCTCGCTGCCGCTGAAATGAATGCTGCTCGTGAAGATCCAAAACAGCGGGACGCGTGTTCCTGGGAAAATCCTTGCGCGAAGATGGGTCAGAAGCGACGCTACCACCAGACCCTCCGGACGTAGTTGAGGCCGTTAAGTCAGTCCCTGTGCTTCTCGCACTACTATTGTTAGAAGGTGATGAGCTCACACGATCACGAGTCACTGTCACGACATCAATTCATTTAAATTCTATGTATAAACTGATGATTTTCATCTCATTCTCTGCCTCTGGACGATCCTGTAGACGTTCTTGGAAACTGAGAGAATATGAAAATGAGTAGTAGTCTGGAGGCGGGAAGATGAATCGTGGTCCTCATGAGCCTTAAGGTTGCCTACGTCTACACTCGATGTCCACCCTTCTGGGCCACCTCCGCGTCCACCTCCACCACTGGCTGCGCTGTCTCCTGAAGTAGCCGGCTCCTCTTGTCGAAAACGCTGAACATTTTTTAGTTCGAGTAGACCGCCACCGCCCATAAAACTAGAGGCTTCAGAAAGAAGATTAGCTATATCACCCTCGCTTAGATCTTCGCTATCAGTTCCAGTTCTACTAGTAAAAACATGCGTCGTGCCATTTCCACGTTCCTGCGGGACGTTTCTACTTTCAGCGTCGGCATCTTCTTCTTGTCCGTAGTTAGAAGTTCTCGCATTCGCTGCAACAAGCCCGTCTCCCTCAGCACGAGCACGATGTTGGCCATAATAAATCGTTTGCTTTGTCCTCTGCGTGATCTGTTGTTTCCGCTGTCTCTCTAAAACCGCATCTCGAGCTGCAGATAGTACTGTGCCTGCGGGAAGATAATTGAGCGTTGATATGTTCGTCGCGAGCGTAGCTGCTCCGGTGGGACTCGAGGTGGGAACAACAGGTCCTCCGTCAAAAGTCCCCCGTGCAAACGTCATGCCAATCACAGCGCTATTCAATGAGTTTGTGGACCAGTTACCTGATGTGTGGTCACCTCCTGAAGAGGTGTCTGGCAAGCGCAGCCCCGAGAAAATAGCAGCTTTTTTATCACCAGCGTTTTTGAGACCTTGTTTCTTTGCAGACGGCGGCTGCTCACCCTCAACAGCCGCTGGCGTTATGATCGTGTCAGGCACGACTCCAGCCCTTGCTATGCTTGTCCGGCCTTCCACTTCGTCACCTGTTGGTGTGCTCTTCGAACCCTTGTCCTTCGCCTTTGACCCTTTCCTTTCATCGCTACCCATTATTTGTGTGTCCCCATCCTCACGAGGGGGATGTCGTGCTTGTAACTGCAACTGCTGCACTCGAAGCGGCGCGTAATATTCAGCATTGGGGAAGGACCCTTCTCTGTCAGCCCTAAGCCCTAAATCATTGTCGCCCGCCGTTGAATCCGTAGTTGAGACTCCCGATTTTTCTCCTCGAGCGCTTCTATATTTTTGGCTACGGCGCTCTGAAAACTTCTCACCAGCACCACGAGAGGTGTCTCTAGTCCTTTTGCACCCGCCACCCTTGTTGCTTCGAGAAGACGGCCCACCTCCTCCTGAGCCTCCTCCTCCTCCTTTCTTGTGTTGGTGACCGTCATGATTGTCTCCACCATCAGGATGAGGATGACCTTCTTGTTGTTTCCTATGAAGATCCCTGCTCCGCCTTCTATCATACGCGCGCATGGCGGCTTCTGCGTTGATGGGAGCTGCCATCATCTTCATCTCGAGGCCAGATAGATCGCGGAAGTAGTGGGGAAAGAATTCGAAGGGCTCGGCCACAAGAGGTTCTTGTCCTTGCTCGTTTCCGAGTGTGCTCTCGAAGTTGTCATTGTTGTAGTCATGATTTATTGACGATCTCTTGATTCCAAAGAATTCATCAAAAGGGACGGCATCCCCAACAATAGCCACATGTCGGTAGATGAGTGTGGGTCTCATCTGGTACTTTTGAGGGCTACGGACGGACTTACCATTACCTTGATGCTCATCTTGCTTTTGAGGAGTCGTGGAGGCGGACTTGCTTCGAGGCTGATTGATTATGAATTTCGGTGGCGCAGCTGCCAGTGGGTGGCTCGGCTCCTGTCGGGCGCCTCTGTTAGGAAAGCCGTGCACTTGTCGGACTATGGGAGTCACACTATGCTCTACTGCCGGAGACGGGGGATTCGCATGAGTGATCGTATCGACAATAACTTCTCGTTGTCGACGACCAGCGTCTCCGCGATCCCACTCTTCCCGACGAGCTTGGACCTCGTCGCCAGTCAAGGACGACTGTGGCACAGAAGCACCTCTGTGGACGACTTCATGCAGTGGCCGCTCTAGTGAAGATGTCGCACTATAACTATTCATTGCAATCTGAGCAATGCCAATGTCCAGTTCTGCATCCTTTTCAACACTGGTGGTGCCCGACAGAGCATTCTGCTGTTCCTCACTTGGCTTCCTTGTGTCCTGCTTGTCGAGAGGACGAGGTGTTGTCTTTTCACTCACACGGACCCCCTGGCCTTCTCCTGATGCTCTAGCCGCGCCTGCCCGCGGCTCATCGAGACTACTGATATCTCTAGCGCCGGGCGATAGCGTCTCACCACGTTGTAGCCGGTGTCCACCAGGATGCTTGTTTGACTCGGCGGCACCAGCTGTGCTCCTAATATCATGTTCATGCGACAGTCGCGCGGCCGCTGGCCCTCCAACTGCTTGCTCTCTTCGATCAGAGGCCTCCTGTTGATTCTCTGTTGATTCTCTGGAGGGCAACTCCTGCACCAGTGTTTCTTTGGAACTCCCAGGTGAAGATGAAAGACCTTGTTCGCCTTGTGCAGTTCCTGCGTCCTCGAGTGATACTGCTGAGGACGATAGCACTGGCGTTTCTAATATTAGAGGCACCGAAAAACAGCCCCATTTTTGAAACATAAACATCTCTATGTAGAACTCCTCAAGTAGAAGTAAGTAGAAACTGGCTAAAATATGCTGTGAGAGAAGATTTGTTGAGTGTTGACGGTACGCTTAATAACATCATCGGAGAATCGAAGCCCGTCCGCGGACTATGCCGGTTTACGCCTTCGTCGTAGCTTCGCATCAACAACTGGTATGTTTGAGGCCCATTATTTTGTCCGTCGCGTGTGAAGTTGAAAGAAGCAGACTGGTTCTGGAACGTCCTCATCATGTCTAAGACCGAGATGCCTTCGCCTAGTTCGGAAGCTGTACCGCTAGCCTCATCGTCCCCTGGGGACAGTGCGTCGTAGGAATGAGATCTTGTCCGGAACCCTTGAGGTCCAAAAGCCTGCTCTCGCTCTGCTCTCCCCTTCACTCGCGTCTTCGCATAAGCAGTTTGAGTCATGCGGCCCAACTGCTGCATTGCTGCCAACGTCTGACCTCCTGAGCCACCTCCCCCACCTGCTGTTGTAGCACCTTTGCTCATAGTGCCGCGTTCTCCTGAGACTTGCGGGGAAAAGGAAGATCGCTGATCAGAAAAAGTTGAGTCCTTACTTCGCAGTCTCATGATCATGGATGGTGGGACGGGAGGTCTTGGCTCCAAAGTCTTGCTTTCTCTGCGACCTGCTGTAGGAGACAGGGCAAGTGGTGCATCGTGGTCTTCATCTTCGTGGCCTAGTACTGGTGTAGTAGTACTCCTAGCTGCGGATGTTGAACTCGCTTGTAGTTCGATGTTATTGGTGCCCTCTCGCGACAATGCAGCTTCGTGCCCTTCTTGATGACTGAGTTCAGGAGGATGTTGAGCAACTCCTTGAGAAGTAGCGTCAGCTTCCTGAAGTACAACACCCCCTGCAGCTGAACTAGAGCTGCCTCTAGTACTTTCTAGAATCTCCACGTCTGAGGGATTTGGACTAGGTTCTTCTGAAGAATAAGTGAGATGCTGAAGTTCCTCAGGTGAAAG